GCAGGGGCAATGGGAGTTGCAGTCCATCACTCTGGGAAGTGCCCAGGCTGGAGGAGATGGTCCAGGCCATGGTGTGGATTGGGCCAGGAAAATGGGCTATGGGGACAGTGGCCATTGATGGATCTCAGAAAGGACAGCATGCATGGCCAAGAAGGGGACCAAGTGCGGCTTGGTTTGCATAAAATGGGCGAACACACATGTAATTATTTACATCTGAATAGGAATACAGGCCATCTCAGCATAATGGGAATGGCAGTGACCGGGGGACCTGTGTGCTGTCCAGCTGCTGTCGGCGGGCAGCTGCAAGGCTCGGCTCCTCCTCCAGAAGGGTCCTAGTCTCTGAAGGAGCCCCCACCAAAGCCATCTTGCCGAGGGCCCCTCAAAATCTAGAGCCAATCCGAAAGCCGTTTACTTGGGCTATCTCCCTCCTAAAATCACATCATGCAATGATCAGCCCTCAATGGTTGCAGCAGAGTATTCGCAGGCAGCTGCTCAGCATGACAGTCGCCCCCATCCCCAAGGATGATCCAAAATTGCAGGGAGCCGTGTGGATCCGGATCGGCACAGCGCCTCATGCAGTTTTCATATCCACTGCAAGCAGGCCTCTGAGGTTTTATTGATCATTCAAGTTCAAACCACTTCAAAATACTGTGCATACCCCAGGGAAGAAATGCCGTTTCTGGGGAAATTATGCTTCCCTCAGCTCTTGTGCAAAATTGCAGTTCAGAACAGGAGGAATCCCGAGGAGCGCTGGGACAGATCAGGTTAGCATCCCTGCTGACAAAATAGTCTCCCAAGACCAACCACCTGCCCACCCCTGCGCTACCCCGCCAGGTGGCTGAGAGATGACTCTATGAACTGGATGTGTGCTTGCACAGTGCCATGTTAACGTGGTTGGTACAGATGTGCTTTGCAACACTTCTCACATCCGGGTCTTGTGGTCCTGATATAAGTGGGATGGTGTAGACCAGGGGTCGGCAACCCGCGGCTCTGGAGCCACACTTGGCTCTTGAACCCCTCTGCTGCGGCTCCGTCACTCAAAACACGCGCCGGCACAGTCCCCGATCCTCTCACAGCGCTAGCTAGTTAAGTAAACCAGCTAGTTAAGTAAATCACTACATTCTCTGCTAAATAAGCTTCCTGCAGGCTCTCATGTAACACGAAATGCTGCTGAAAAGATTCTCTTTGTCCCAATGTAATCTCCTTCATCTGAATGTTAAAAGCTGCCCTTGGGACCTGTCACAATTCTCAGCACTTGACTGTTTATCTGCTGATCAGTCACTAAACACACCTATATCTCCAGCACAGCCACCGATCTGCGGACCCACACCGATTTACTGAGCCCCCTCCCCACCCCCCGTAGGCTAACCATGGATAAATTGAAGAAAAAAATAGTTTCTGAAGAAAACCGAATGTTTAATGGTACGTGGGTAGATTGATTTGCTTTTACTGCTGACGAACTTATGGGGTTTGCTGTTTAATGCAAGCAGCCCTTTAGCACTGACTTTGATGCTTCAGGAAGCTGTTCTCCCATTCAAAATATATGAAAGGAGTCCTACTAGTTTATAATGTAAGATTAAAAATAACAGTTTTTAGTGACTGAACAAGAGCTGCAGCTAAATCATAATGAAGATATGCATAGCATTAAGGTAAAAAACGATATATGCAGTGTTATCTTCATTTTAGATGTCAAAAGGGTTTTGCGGCTCCCGGTGTTTTCTTTTGTGTGGGAAACGGGTCCAAATGGCTCTTTGAGTGTTACAGGTTGCCAACCCCTGGTGTAGACACTCTGAGCTGAGTCCGAACTTTAAAGGAGCTATCCATGGTGCTGAACTGGGGGATTCGGGCTTGGCACCATGGATAGCTTCTTAAAGGTTCGGGCCAAGACATAGCATGGGTTCACCATCCCACTGCCACCAGGACCAGCCACCTTGACTCTGCACTGGTTTAAATAATGAGCACGAACTGCCAGATGCATCCCTAACAGGGTCATTGAAGCAGAGGCCCATAAAAGCTGGGATTCTTGCTTACTGCTAATCCTGCAGTGTGTAGTCAATGAATTTGTTGAATTTATCTTTGTCTTCAGACAGATACACACACACACACACATGGTCAAGCAAAAGAGACTTTCCCCAATTTTTATTTGTCAGCAGTTTTTAAAAAATCTTTTTGGGTATTACATTTTACTGTATAGCTGAATTGAGATGACTGGTTGAAAAAGTAGGGTGCAAGTTTAACAAACATGCACCTTTTAAAGAAAAGATTGAGATCTTTTAGAGAAGTCCTAGAAAAAGTGCAGAGAACAGCAAAGACACTTTAAGGGAGAGAAAGTTGGGTGCCTCTTTGAAGAAATTGCCTGAGGTGCTTGTTGCATCCTCCAAAAAACAAACAAACAAACCATCCCGAGAGGAGGATTTTATCTTTAGATCCATACTCTGCCTCATATACAGATCTATGCACGCCACACTCCCAGTGAACTGACCAAAAGCATGTAATTAATTGACTGAGATTTGGTCTACACATGCAGTAGAAAGCAGTGGTGATGCCATTTTTGAATGCTTCCACCCACCATATAGCACCCCACCCCCCAGGAGGAAAAGGGTTTTTCAGGCTTCAGGAAGTTATTTTCACAGGGAGCATTAAAACAATATGTTTTGCACTCATCCCTGCTACTGCAGTTTAAGAGGGTTCCAGCCATTCTGCCATTGTATCTAGAATTATTTCATTCATGTTCCTCTCACCCATGGACAGTGTCAGGGCCAGCGCTTCCATCAGACCAAATGGGGTGGTTGCTTCAGGCAGCAAATGCTGGAAGGCTGCAAGGTGATGGAGGAGAAAATCATGTGCCTTGTGGCCTTCCTACACCTCCTGAACTAACCAGCAGAGAATGTGCTCACATCCATCGGTGTTCAGTTGTGGAGGCTTCGTAAATGGAGAGAGAGGTAGGGGCCATTTTAGTTCTGCCTCAGGCAACGAAATGTCTGGGGCCAGCCCTGGACAGCACTGAAGATGGATGCCACCCCTGGGCTGATCAGCTTCTCCACATGAATCTGTCAGCAGGAAACACCTTGTCCTTTGCCTGAGGCAGTAAAATGACTTGGGCTGGCCCTTCCTGCACAGCCAGGATTAGAGGCTGTTGGACTGTTGGACCTGGGAGATCTGGGTTCCAGTCCCCAAAAAGCCATGAAGGACATGGGGTGGCTTTAGGCCAGTCACTGACACTCAGTCTAGCCTACCTCATGAGGTTGATGCAAGGATAAAATGAAGAGAAGGAAGATTTGTAAGCCCATCGAAGTGCTGAAAAGGATTGAAAAAGCAGGATATAAATGTAATAATGCATGCCTTTAAAAAGCTTTTACGGACCAGAGTTTTTCTGCCAAATGCATGAAATGGCTTCCTTCCAGAGTTGGTAGAAGCACATATACATGTGGTGTGAGAAAGACTTTGCCTACAGTGGGGCAAGAAAATACAAGAGACAGGAAGAGGTGTGCCCGTTCTAGACTGGGGATAAATGAATAGGCGTTTTGTGCTTGGCACAAAAAGATGGTACACTTTTGCATTCCCTCAGGCTTTCAGCCCCACTGTGCAAATAAAGTGCTTGCTTCTGTTGATCTTTACCCATCTTTATATCTATCAAACCCAGAAGATTATTTCAGATGCCTGCTAAATGTGCTTTAGTCTACAAAAGCTTATGTCACACAGTGCATTAGTTAGTGTTTAAAGTGCCACATGACTTTCTGTTGCTTTTGCAACAGTGAACCAGCTCAGCCATCCCTCCGCAATCTGTCACTACAGAGAACCAGATCTCCTTTTGGAGCAGTCTCCATCAGCTTTGGATGACTTTAATTCTGCTTCTGAAGGATCTTGCACAGGATGCGGCAGGGAGTGAGGAAAACACACGGATGCACAGCGCATAATGTCAGCTGGCTTTCTCTGGCTGGTTGCTCCAGAGCGGGCCGTGGCGCACTGGCAGAGCACCTGCCTGGAACGCCGAAGGCTCAGGCTCAGCCCCCTCCATCTCCAAGGGAGGGCGAGGACGGAGACTTCCTCAAACTCTGAAGTGCCTCGGCCGACTGCTACAGACCAGGGGTAGGCACGACGGCGCCCTCCAAACGCTTGGTACGACAATGCCCATGCTGGCTGGGGCAAATGGGTGTTGTAGTCCAAACCATCTGGAAAAGACCGTTGATGGACTAGTGGCCTAGGATCGTTTCCCACGTTCTTCTACGCAAAACAATGGCAGGGGCGCAGCCGAGCGAGCCAGGACTCGCCCGTGCGGCTCTGATTCGCGGGGCCACTGAAGGCGCTCCTCTCCGGGTCCTGCTGCTATCCCCACAGCGCGGCACCGGCCAGTTGCGCCTCGCTGGGATGCAGCGCCTCGCGGGGCGCGCCTGGCTCGAGCCGGGGAGCCCCGCGTGCTCGGCCGAGGACGTGCTCCCGGCGGCGGGGCCTCGGCACCCGATCGCCCCGCGGCCTGCGCCGGGACCCTCCCTGGCGGAGGAGCGCCTGCCGCCGGGGCGCGAAGCCTCCGCCGGGGCGCCGGGCTCGCAGCGGTTAACGCGCGCGCCTCCGCAGAATTTGGGACGCGGGGAGCGGCGCGCGCGCGCCTCCTGCCAAGAGAAGGGCGATCCGAGGGCAACGGCCCGCTCTCCTCCTCTGGCACATGCAGGCGCCCCGCGGAATGGGATTGCGCTCCCCTCGGCGACTGCATTAGCAGGCTAAGCCTGAGCGGCGTTACTGGTGGGGGAGCCGGAGGAGGAGGAGGAGGAGGAGGAGGCGAAGGCGGGCCGCCCCCCCGCCCGAAGCCACTTGCCCGCCGCCCGCGCCCGGTCCCCGCCCCGCCCGGAGTCCTTGCCGGCTCCGCTTCGCCCCGCGGCGGCGGGCGGCGCATGCGCCTCCCATGGAGAGCGCTCCAGCGGGCTCGGGCTCGCCTGAAGCCAGCAGAGCGGCCGAGGCTTGCGCGGGGAGCCAGACGAGCGGCGCTCGGCGAGGCAGCAGCGATGGCCGGGCAGAACCAGCAGCGCGCTCTGCGCAAGAGCATCGCGGCGCAGCAGCCTGCCCCGCCGGCGCAGCCCCCGGCGCAGCCGCCGCACCCGCTGGGGAGCGCCGCCCGCGGCCCCCGGAGCAGCGCGGACAGGGTGGCTCTGAAGAAGGAGATCGGGCTGCTCAGCGCTTGTGCCATCATCATAGGTGAGAGCGGCGGCCGGGGGCCGGGTGGGCGGGCAGAGCCTGGGGTGGTCTTCTTAAGCCGTGGCTGGGCGAGAGGGGCAGGAGGAAGGGCAGAGTGGCTAAGGCGAGCCCAGCGGGCTGAAAGTTTGTTTGCTGGTTTGTTTTTGGTCCTCCCCCCACCGCGCACACACAGAGAAACACGCATCTCCCGGAGCACAGCATCCCTCCGCTCACCCCAGCTAAGTATTTGTGAATGGGAACCGCGGCGATCTTGGCTGACTCTTCCAAGCAGGCTTTTTTGGGACTAGGCTGGTGGTGGCTCAAAAGAGCGTTGTGCGTTTTCGCCTGGCTTTGGAAAGCCGGCTAATGCCCTGCAAAGCAGCCTCGTGCGCGACAAGATTAGATCAGCGAGTATATTTCACTTTCTTCTTTTGTAGACTGTTCAATCCTCTCATCTTTTGGAGAGAGAGAGAGAAGAGGGGAGCTGGCAAACAGAGGATCAGAGCTGGTCCATCGGTGGCCTTGCCGAGAGTGCGAAATCCCTCGGATGCGCCTCGAGTGCTCGAGCGGTTTCACGCATTCCTGGGGGGCAAACAGGGCTTTGCTGCTCACCCATAGAATCGCAGCAGCACCGTGGCGCTGGGTTACTTAACAGGGCGCTGCAGCCGGTCCTGGCGGTCCATGGAGTGCCGGAACCTCTTTGTGGCAGGAGCTCCTCTTGCACAAGTGAGGAGGAGAACGAACAAAGTGCGGGTGGGACCTCTTATTTCCGGGTCAGAAGCGCACTCGAATAGGAGCAGGGCTTTCAGGGCAGCGTGGCGGTTGGCGTGGGGGCTTTCATCCATCATTCCCGATTATGGCAAACCTGAGGCATCCCAAGCGGTGCCTTTGCTAGCCCCCTGCTTGCCAGGTGGCTTTGCTTCAAAAATCCTGCAGAACCTGTTGGTCAGAAATGACACAGGACAAACAGCTATGGGTCTACCAAGAGCAGCAGTGATTCCCTGGCTAGCTTCTCCCCCTCCCCTCCTTCTTTGGCCTTCCTTTCAACATCACTGTTAAACCCAGCAGATTCAAAACACTGGATTTTTATTATTGCTTGGTTTGAAAAATTAGAAGCAGTTGTTTAGGAGAAACTCCCCCAAGGTGACTTACTAAATTTCAAATCACTAAATGCAATTAGTAAATGATAAACTGCAATAATGCAGTTATAAAAATCAGAATCACAATTAAAGCAAGATAACACCTTATGCACAATAAAACTGTGGCTGTTATTGGCCAATGTGTATAGGTAAGTCTTTAGGGCCCCCTTCAAGGCCTGTATTGATGTTTCAAGCAGACCTTGATTGCAGCAAAGTTCCATAGGTGGAGGACCCACTGTGGAGAAGGCCCCGGCCCTTGTGCCCACCGGCCTAAATGTGTTGACAGGTGAGCTCATAAGCAGGGTCGCCAGTGCCAGTCTCAACAGCTGGCCATTTGGTATTGTGAAGGAGGACCTTCAAGCAGGGCCAGCCCACAGCGCGGTGGTGCTTGACGCGAAGGGCAAGATGGTGCCCGCGCCTTTGCCATGCATGAACACAGCTGGACCAGCTGATGAATCGGCCTCCAGCGCTAATGACAGACAAGGCTCTCCACTGAACTTGAAGTCAGCAGACTAAGTGGGGGGCCTGCAGGACACTTCCGCTCTCTCTCCCCGTCTTCCTGGTGCCTCCCAGCATCTGCTGCCTGAGGCAACTGCCGGGCCAGAGGGGCAGCCCTGCCTTCAAGCAGCCTGGCTCCAGCTGTGCCCAGCTCTGGAGGCCAGTGCCACACTTTCAGTTTGGCTTGGAAAGTCATCGTCAGCCAGTGCAACAGTGGCGCTCACGGGGTCCAATTGCCTGCACCTGCTCAGGCAGCCACTTTTGTAGCAGTTCGGGTTTCCCACATAAAGTCAGCCTCATGCAGAGCACATTGCACTAACCAGCCTATCTGCCGTAGGGGCACCGAACCACGGAATGGTCAGCTGAGAAGGGGCCGAGAAGGGCGGTGGGCCCAACCCCTGCTCAGTGTGGGATAGGAGCGCATGGGCCACTGAGCGCTCTCCTTTCCAGGCAGCATCACGCACAGGTTGCCAAAAGCATCCTTGCCACGCCCGCTGCCGCCACCAGGCCCTTCCCTAGCTGGTGCTGAAGCCAGGCCAGGGGTGCAAAACTCTTTTAGCTTGAGGGCCAGCTTCCAGTTCCTCACTCCAGGAAGGGGCATGGCCAAACCCAAGAAGGCACAGCCAAGAGTACCCAAATAGCTTAGTTTAACATGCTTAACCCCTAAGAGGGATTTCAACCTTTAAGAATAGGGGGGAAATGGGATGGAGGGGAGGCAACTGATCTGGAGAATCTAATTGTAGTATTTACGTATTGCTGAGTATAATAAAATCCTTGAGTGGTTTTACCTATGGTTCAGCATCATTGGCCTAAGAGAACTTTCACACCGCACACACTTTCCCACTCACTGGATGCAGCCCCATCTGGAACCACCCCACAGACTCTCCATCTTGCCTGGATTTTGCTTCAGCTTGTTTGCTCTCCAGCCACCAGTGCAAGTTCCACAGCCTTCCTGAGATGGTAGTGAAAGGTAGAGCTGAGGGCCATCCACATACATTAACTATCATTATTACCATCTCAGCCCGAACCCCAAACCCAGAAATGTGATATAGATACAAGGAAAAAGTAATAAAAACCCAAAACCAACATTGGCTCTAGAGTCATGCCATAGAACAATGGCCATGCAATAGAACAACAATCTGACTCCTGAATCCCACCCCCAAAATTGGCTCAGCGCCATGGAGAGCTCCTACAAAACCCTGACTAAAAGCTGCAATGGATAGAGAGCCAGTGTGCCATGGTGGTGACAGGACTGGACTGGGGCTCAGAAGAGTGAGGTCCTAACCTCCCCTTGGCCATGGAACTCACTGAATGGCTTGGGCCACTCACAGATTCTCAGCCTAGCCTTCCTCACAGGGTTGTTGTGAGGATGGTACCAATCCTCCAAAAATGATTGAAAACGTCGAAGTACCATGCCTGATCAAGGGTATCCAAAGTCACCAAGGGGCCCAGGAGAACCAACACTTCCACATCCATTCCCTGGCACAAGTTATCCATTAGGGAGATCAAATTACAACTGCAGTTTTTTAAAGCATTCAATAAAAATAAAAGTATGAACACTTCAGAACAGCCTCCAAAATGGCTGGTACTCATTGATTCATATCAAGTCAGCATTTAGGGAGGGGAAGCTGGTGACTTCAGGTGACTCTCAGTGGGCAGCATAGCCATTCCGGTCTCCAATCTGAGCTGTGAGGTGCTGTCCGTGGTGCTGAAACACACTGCCCCAAACTCAGCACTGTGTACAGCTCCATTGGAGTTGAGGCTTGGTGCCTGGCTGACTGATGTCTGGAGTCACCAGCCTCCACTGTGTTGGCCTTTAGAGAGCGGTTTAGTTCATGGAAGGTGCTTCTCATACATTATTTTCGAAAGCCTGAAGGAAAGAGGGAAATGCTCTATTCTTTGCCGTCCCAGCAGGCAAGAGCTAGCTCTAACAGGTTTAGTTTACATAGGTAGATTTTGGTTGAACTTTAGAAGGAACTCCTTAATGGCAAGACCCCTTTCACAATGGGACCTCTTCCCCAGAGGGATGGAGCAGGGGCTCTTCCTTTCTAAAGATCTTCAAGCAGAGGCTGCACCACCATTTGTCAAGAGATGCTTCGGCTCTGGACTTCCTCCATCGAGTGGGGTGGGTTAGATGACATCCAAGGCCCCCTATCCTCCAAGTCTGTCATTGTAACTCACCTTGTTAAGAAAGCCAGTGTTATTATCACCCTCTTGCTGATGGTGAAGCTACAGCTGAAAATGCCTTCCATGGACACCAATTGAGTTCATGGTACCTAGTGGATTTAAATTGCAGGCATCAAGAGGGTTAAGGCATAGATGTTCATTGGTCAGGAAAGGAGACCTTCAGTAAGAGGTCAAGAAAAGAGCCCCTTGGTAGGAGTTGCAATGTCTTGGACTACATTCTCTTCCTCCCCCCCCCCCCATCATCATCATCATCCACCTGTGTCTTTAGTAGGTGCATAACTACCTAGAAAAACATGTTGTTTGAAGCAGGAGCCTTGGTTGGCTCCAATCTGAATTCCCCAAAATGCAAGGGAGGGTATGTATTTTTTTCATTATGACAAAGAATGCACAGCTCACAAAGGAGGTGCACTATGTAATTATTACAAAGATATACATCAGTTCAAAGAAGAGACCATTAAGCAATGATGTTTAGCCCAGCCCTGCAATGCACGTCTATACAGACAATAAACCACAGTTCAGGTCTATGCAGATGTCAACCACATGTATCCGCAGACCAACTGGTTGTTGATTTTCTTGCTTAAAGATAAGGAACTATAATAGGAATAGAGAAGGGACTTTGAAGTTGTCTTTCAAATGTTAGCCCCTTGGTAGTCCTCCAGCTTGTATGTGGAAGTGTCTTATCAACAGGTGATACTCTTCAGATGTAGCAATCCAAGCCCTTCAAACTATGGTTTGTTCGTGCACACTGTCTCCTCCCTGTCTTTCCCTCGTCACATTCAGATATCCTCCCTTCTGTTTCAGCAGCAATCCATCATTTTCCGATACATCTGAACCAGGCAACTATGGTTTATTTGGGAGAAAGAAGGGGTTTCCTAAGAATTATAGTGGCAAGTGAGGTTTAGCAAGGTGTGCCTTCTGCCTTCTAGTCTCAGTTGAAGCATCTTCACCAAGAGGGATGAATTGGGATGGGAATTAGCAGAGCATGTCATTTCCAGCATTTAATTCCCAGGCCTAAACAACCATGCTGGAGAGGTAGCTACTTAAAAGTCCATGATATGCTAATATCCCATCTTGGCTTTCTCTTACACACCCTGATTTATCCTCACAACAGCTCTGTGAGAAAAGTGAAGCTGGCGAGCAGCCCAAAATGAACCAGTGAGCTACATGGCTAAGCAGAGATTTGAACCTGGGTCTCCC